TGTCCTTTCAAATCTTATAAAATCTATTAAAATACTTTAAAATTCAATCTTATAAAATATTAATTGTAAAAAAGTCTTTAAAGTCACTACAATTCTAGATAATCTTTTAAAATCTATAAAAAAAAAGTTATCTCAAAATAATCTTTTAAAATTCTAATCCAATACACCCCTTAAATATATGTTTGGTTAAGATCATTTTTAAAAATTTTGCCATAGATGCAGAAAATATTTTCCCAAAAAATAATGGGTGCGTTTTTTCTCCTTTTACTACGAAGAAAATTTTCTGCAACAAACTATTACAACTATGTACTACGGATAATACATAGTTATAATTATAAAATTATTTGCTCAGTTCTCAAATATTGTCAGCTAATATGACAGAAAAAGAAAAAATAATTTTATCACTTCTCAACTAGTGTGTGATGGTAAATGCAATTGGATTCTCAGGTGGCATCTGGCTTTTATGGAAGGATGATTTTTTTAAAGTCTCAATAATAGAGAAGTCTAGTCAGTTTATCCATGTTTCTTGTTCGGTTGGCCAGGGGAATACTTTTTTCCTCACAGTGGTCTATGCTAATCCTAGAGAGGAGAACTGGGAGGATCTCTGGCTAGACCTAAGGAGAATTAGTGGTAGCATGCTGGGACCTTGGGCCATGATGGGAGATTTCAATGAGATAGCTTCAATAAAAGAGAAAAAGGGGGAGCTCCTGTGAACCTTGCTAGATGTCATAAATTTTCCTCTTTACTAAATGATTGCAACATGTTAAACCTTGGCTGTAGAAGCTCAACTTCCACCTGGAAAAGACCTAAGTGTCTTCATCTTGATAGAATCTTCAGGAGGCTGGACTGTATTTGTGCAAATGCAGCTTGGAGAACATCATTTGGGGAAGCTCATGTTAAATCCCTACCTCAGCTTAATTCCGACCACAATCCTCTTTTTCTATTTCTCTTCCCTAAGGAAAAAGATTGGAAAGAGAGACCTTTCAGATTTGAGGTGGCTTGGCAGGACCATTGCACCTTTCCCCACTTTCTAAACTTTGTCTGGAATCCTCATCTTAAGATCTCCCATAGCCTGAGCAATCTGATTTCTCCCCTCATATCCTGGAACAAAAGAGTCTTTGGTTGTATCCATGTGAGAAAAGAGTACATTCTTAATAAGATTCAGGATAATCAAAACAACATCACCAACCAGCCGGATTATGTTCAATCTGAATTAGATATAGCCCTTCAGGATGAGCTTAACCAAGTGATGGAGCAGGAAGAAGCCCTATGGTTTCAAAAGGCCAGGTGTAAATGGATTGAAGATGGTGATCGCAATACTAGATACTATCATACTACCACAATCATCAGAAGAGCCAGAAATAAAATCCTTGAACTCAAGAATGATGAGGGGCTGTTTGTGAGAGAAGAAGATAATCTTCTTTTGCTCATTCACTCTTTTTTTAACAAGTTATTTGCAGAAGAAGATGAGTGTAGACCGTGGGAAGCTACTAGAAACAACCGGCTTGTTCTTGATGAAGTTGAGATAGCTGCCCTTCAGGAACCCATTTCTGATTCTATAATTAAAGAGGCATATTTCTCTATGGATGCTCTAAAAGCTCCTGGTCCTGACGGATTCCCAGCTTTTTTATTCCAAAAAAATTGGGAAATTATGAAGAACCAAGTTACTAATTGTGTGAAGCAGATTTGGAGTATGCCTTCGGAAGTTAGAGATCTAAACAAAACCTTCCTAGTTCTCATTCCTAAGCTGGCCAAACCAGAAAAAATTTCTCAGTTCCGGCCAATTGCCCTATGTTCAGTGTTGTACAAAGGAATTAGCAAGATCATTGTGGGGAAGTTGAAGCATCTGCTAAATAAACTCATTTCTCCCCAACAAGTCAGCTTTGTTCCTATTAGGCAGATTCAGGACAATATTGTTATAGCCCATGAAATGGTCCATTCTATGAGTAAGATGAAAGGAAAAGGGGTTTTCTCACGATCAAGATAGACCTAGAAAAAGCCTACGATAGAATGTCTTGGAATTTCATTCATAAAGATCCTGAGATAAACATTATGGAGTCCTTGGTGAACCTAATTATGCACTGCATTTCTTCAACAGAATTGGAAATTCTTTGGAATAGTTCTAAGGCTGTAGTATTTCCCCGAGCAGAGGTCTAAGACAAGGAGACCCTATATCTCACTACATCTTTGTCATTTGCATGGAGAAACTCACTCACTTAATTGCTGACTCCGTGGAAAAAAAAGATTGGAAGCCAATGACAGTTGGTAAAGGTGGTCCAATTATCTCTCATCTTCTTTTTGCTGATGATTTGTTGTTGTTTGGAGAAGCCAATATTGATCAGATCAAGACAATTATGGGCTGCCTTGATAAGTTTGGTAACATGTCGAGTCAAAAAGTGAGCTATCTTAAATCAAATATATTTTTCTCCAAAAATGTTCCCACTGAAGTTGCCAATGCTATTGTGGAGTTTAGTGGCTTTGCGCTCACAAAAAATTTATAGAATGAAGCATGGCAGAATCAACAAACTGCACTACGGGGAAATTATAGACAGAGTTAATTCTAGACTTCAAGGCTGGAAAAAATAGTGTCTTTCTATGGCAGGGAGAGTTACGTTGGCTAAATCTGTCATATCAGCTATTCCCATGTTCTATATGCAAAATAGCATCCATGCCTATAGGTGTTTGTGAAGAGATTGAAAATCTTCAAAGGAATTTCATATGGGGTGACTCTATCGGCCAAAGAAAGAATCATGCTATTGGATGGGAGCAACTTAAGCTTCCAAAAAATCAGGGTGGCTTAGGGATTATTAACCTAAGAAAGCAGAATGAAGCCTTCCTTCAGAAGTGTGCTTGGAATCTTGCTCAATCTCCATCCCAACTTTGGGTGTAGGTGCTTATAGCTAAATATGGGAGGAAAAAGGATTTACTAAAAGAAGTGGTTTGTAAACCGTATGACTCTCATTTGTGGAAAATTCTTTGTAAGATCTGGCCAGATATGTTGGGCAATACAATTTGGCAAATTGGTAACGGGGGGAAGATTGATTTTTGGAAGGACAATTGGGTTGGTATCAGGCCTAATCTCCTCTCTATTGCTCATAATCCTCTTATAGCTGATTTTGCATATTATAAGATTAATCACAGAGTTTTTCTAGATGGGAATGGCTGCAATGTGCAGTACTTGTGGAATCATTTTGACCAGAATTTCGTGAACAAAATCCTTGCAATACCGCATCCTAAAGAAGAAGCTGGTGAAGACTTAATTACTTGGAAGAATTGGAATCCGGGTCAGTCTATTGTAAAACTCGCATATTGTAACCGGTTGAGCTCAAATACAGCTCCTTCCAACAGTTGCTGGGATAGAATCTAGAGCTGGAAAGGTAAAGAAAGATTGAAATTTCTTATGTGGAAAATGTATCATGGTAGAATGCTAACTAAAGATATTATAGCAAAGTGGAGTGGATTGTCTGACTGCGGTCCTTTCTGCCCTGATAAGGTGGAGAACCATCTACACGACTTTAGAGATTGTGTTAAGGCTAAAAAGATTTGGTCTCTTCCCCTGTTTCACCCTCTTCCATTAGGCTTCTTCAATTCTGACTCGTGGAGTGAGTGGTTATCTCTTAACTTAAAGGTGTGCAATCGGTTTTCAAGGGATTGGAGGGACTCTTTTTTTACTGTTTGTAACTTTCTGTGGACTTGGAGAAATATAGAACTCCATGAAGAGGGGTATAAGAGACCTAAGGATCCGTCTTCTACTCTAGCTACCTTAGTAGAGGAAATAAGGTACTGTAAGGTAAGAAACAAAAAAGGTTTTATCAATTTACCTATCTCCCTCTTCCCCTCCCATTGGACTGTTCCAGATCAAGGTTTTTTTAAACTTAACGTTGATAGTGCTGTGCCTGGGGATAAGGCAGCTTATGGGGGCCTTTTGAGGGATTGGACTGGATCTTGGAAGGGTGGTTTCTCTGCCTTCCTAGGTTCCTGCTCCCCGTTGAATGCTGAGCTATGGGCTATCTTTCATGGACTGACTTATGCCTGGGAACAAGGTTGGAAGAGAATTGTTTTGGAATCTGACTCTTTACAAGCTTTAAGCCTTCTTACCAATGCTGGTAACGATACTCGAGATCTCCCTTTGGTAGCTAAGATTCGAGTTTTCCTTTGGAAAGATTGGACTGTTTTGTTGAATCGAATACCGAGGAAGAGTAACACATGTGCGGATTGGATAGCAAAACAGGCTGTGGATGATCTTCTTGGTCTTATTGTTTTCTCATCCCCTCACAATGACATTATCAACCTGTTAGCTGCTAATTTACTGGACCTTGGGGTTGATGCTGATGGTGATTTAGATGCCTAGTCTTTAGCTTTTTCTCCCTGCTGTTTCTGTCTTTGTTTCGTTTCTTGTCTTTTTAGTCTTTCTTTGTTGTTTGTTTTGGGGCTGTGCCCCTTTTTGTTACCAAAAATAAAAATAAAAATTGGTGCTGACAAGTACATTTCTCAAAAATAATTATATTTTAAAAACTCTTCAGAAAAATAGTGAAAAATATAAGCTTATATTCTTTAAAATAGTGAAAAATACATTTTTCAATAAATTATAACCATTGATGGACGAAAATCAACTGTTAGGATCTAAAAAGATATAATCTTATATCCTTTAAAAGGATATATGTTTTTTCCAAAGGGATTCTACTTTCTTATGTTGTTGGTGATAATTATCTCCTACTATAGATACATAATGTGATGAGAGATAGTTATCTCCTACTATAGATATCTCCTACTATAGATACATAATGTGATGAGAGATAGTTATCTCCTACTATAGATACATAATGTGATGGGGCCCACCATTTATTAAAAAAAAAGACGAAAAAAATGGTGGCACAATTTTTGATGTAAAACAACATATGAGAGAGTTATCTCATGTAAAATGAGACAATGATATCCCTTTTAGAAAATATAAAATAAAGAAGCTAATTCAAAACCCACCGAGAGTGAATCGAGTTAGAGGCATTTTCTTATTTCAACCAGGATGGGATGGGAGTAGTAGTTGAACTGAACTTGAACTGAAAAAGGGTTATGGCAATTATCCGCCACAGCAACCGCATAGCCACTCTCACTCACCGCTGCTATTCCTCCTTACCCACCACTAAAATCCCACTCCTCTACACCGCCGACACAACCGCCGCAACCGCAACCCTCCAACTCCTCTCTTGGGGAAGGGGCGCCTCCGGCCAACTCGGCGGCGGCATCGAAGAAATCCGCCTCTACCCATCTCCGGTGGCAAACCTCGTAGTCCCCAAATCCTCCTTCTCCCTCTGCCAAACCCCTGGTCGGCTCCCTAAAACAAGCGGCGGCGGCTGTACTAAGAAGATTTTGGAAGTGGGTATCTCATGTGGGCTTTTCCATTCTTCGTTGGTCGTTGATGGGTCTCTTTGGATTTGGGGCAAAGGTGATGGTGGAAGACTGGGTTTTGGTCATGAGAATTCCTTGTTTGTCCCTACCTTGAATCCTCACCTTGATAACGTTCGATGTGCTGCCCTTGGCGGCCTGCATTCCGTTGCGCTCACCTCAGCCGGCGAGGTCTTCACGTGGTCAGAATCACTTCAACTGTGCCTTAATTCAATGCCCTTTTGGTTGCATATGAGTCTCTGTGTGTATGTGATTCTGATTGCGATTGTGATTGTGAGTGTTTGCTCTTTTGGTGGTTGAAAATGTTTATCTTACTACCCTCTTGCCTACGTTGCCAGTGTTTTAAGAGAAGTACAAGTTAATATAGTCAGTAATGTGGTAGATATTTTTGGTGGCTTATGGTTCTAAGAAAACGTGAAGATGAATTTGGAAATTTGGTTTTTTGATAGAGCCCTGTGGCATTGCTGATCCGTGTAGCCAACCGCACTTAGTGAGATAAGGCTTGGTTCTTGTTGTTGTTGTTGTTGTTGTTATTGTTGAAATAATAATAACTGTGAATGTGTTTTTCTTTTGCTAATGAAAATGTTTATCTCAATGTCCACTTGCCTATAGATTATGATTTTGACTTTTTTCAAATAGGAAAGCCATTGACATTGTTTCAAAAGTAGTAGAAGTGAATATAGTTAGGAATCTGCTGGATTTTGATGGTTGTTTGTTCTAAGAAAACATGGCAATGAATTGGGAATTTTTGCATGTAAAAGGTGTCATATGTGATATGTCCTGCTCATGAAAATTGGTTGATGTGCTTCAAATTATAAATGTTCTTGTTTACAAAGTTTAATCTACAAGAAATTGACCATTTCTACGTTTACAATGATAAGCCAGTGTATGTCTAGATATTTCAGATGGCAGGTTTCAACCACTGAAAAGTTAATATGCAACAGGTAGTTATTGTGCGGGGTTTTAAATGCTTATCTGTTTTGGTGCAAATGTTGTTGGAAACTTGGAATGATTAGAAGAGAGCCTTATCTCAGTGGGTGATTATAATTTGTCAAAAGCTAATGTGACTGAAAAGTTTTGACCTGTGAAGACCTTATTAGTTCCTTTGAGAATTTCTAATTTGTTGCACCATAATTGGTTTAATGGAATTCTATTTCGTCTGCATGAGAAAGTCCTACAAATCTTTATATTTGTATTCAGTGAATCTGATATCAATCCCACGATTCCATCTTTCATAAATGTAGATGTTGGTCTATGCCTTTCTCATTTGAGAACTTGTATTTGAACATATTATAATTCTTAGCTCTTGATCAAATTATTGTGTGCAAGGTCTTATTTAAATTATAAAGGATTATGTCAAGAGAATTATGAGATCGCCTAAGTTGAAATAAACAAAATACTTTTACTTAGAAGAGAAATCTAGATCAATTTAAGATACTTTCAGAAACCTAGAGATTTCAGTGAAACTTTCAGAATCTTTATCCTTTTTGGTTTCTTAGAAATGTGTATTTAACAAATGAACGTACTTTTTTGAGGTTATGAACTTTTTTAGAATTTCAGGTAGTTAAAAATTTCCCAAATTTTATGATGAATATTTAAAGTTTTATGTGGGTCAAGTATTCAAGCTTTCTGTGCTCTGAATAATATTAATTTTTATGGACGAAAATGAAGTCTGCAGGGGTTATGGTGGTTTTGGTGCACTTGGACACTCGATATATCAAAGAGAGCTATTTCCTAGGCTGGTAAAAGGCTCCTGGGAGGGAACTATACAGCACATTGCTACTAGTGGAACGCATACCGCAGCAATCACAGAATCAGGTTCTTTTGATGGCCATAACCTTTTTCATCAATTATGTTTTGTCTTGTGTCAAATTGTTGTTTTCCTATGTTTTCTATCCTTTAGTTGTTTTTTCTCTTTTGTGGAGAAACAAGAATTCATCAAGAGAAATAAGAGAAGTTCAAAGATGGAATGTAAAAATCTACCTAAGACTACAGGCTTCTAAGACACATTTTCTTTTACTGACTGATCCAAAAAAAATCGATAGATTTTTAAGATGCACTTTTATTATACACTTAAAATCAGTTTTTTATGTGAATTGAAATTTTTGCCCGGCCTTATAATATCTAATGCTTGATTGCATATATAGATTTCTATTTCTATGTTGTACTTTACTTCGTGCTTTGTTTACTCTTCTTATTAACATCTACTGACAATATATTTTAAGCCTTTTTATTTTTATTTCCTGTAATCATATGTACACATGACATAAATGTATCTAATTGAGTTATGGAACTTATTTTTACATTAAGATGTTATTGAATAAAAAATTAAGTATGTATGATAAAAGAGTGCTGCTATACAGCCTGAATAGCTGTACTTCTAGAGGTTGACTTTGTGAATGGCTGTTTAGCTCTCAGGTTACATGGCCACTTGTGGGCACCATGGGAGAAAATGTATCAACAGCATTGACAAGTGCATTGATTTTTGTTCTTGTGTATCGTTTGTTACATCTTTTGTGCATTACAGTCATTAAAAAAATTCATTAATATTGAAATGTCTGCATGTGTGTTAATTGGTGCTCAGTGCTCTCAGTTAGTTAGTCTCTGAGTTAATTAAAGCTCAGTGGTCCCTAATTTTCTTTTGCCATGTAAACAACTTATTTCCATTGGTTGTCATCATAATGTGATTGTGCAAGACCTGAAATTTGCCAACAATAGAAACTAATGAATGTGCCATGGCCCTTTTCATTTACTGCATCAACAATTCTCCCACATGCTTATATTAGAAAAGATTATACCCTAAAGAAATTAACATGCTGTTGAAAGCCTATTATGGTCCTGCATAAGGTAGCATGGGACAATTTTTCGTCCTCAAGGATGTAGATTCATTTTTCTATAGTACAATTTTCTAAGACAAATTTGTGGTTATTTATAGGAATATCCAGACTATTTAATGTAAACTAGATGTCATGTGAAATGGTGCACCCTTTGAAACTGATGGCAGGTTTGTGTTGGATGAAGGTGAGCTTTATATCTGGGGTCGAGATGAAGGGGATGGTCGATTGGGCCTTGGTCCTGGTCAAGGCCCAGATCACGCAGGTGGACTTAGTATCCCTTCCAAAGTAAAAGAATTACCTTTCCCAGTTGCTGCTGTTTCCTGTGGGGGATTTTTCACAATGGCATTGACAGAGGACGGAAAACTGTGGAACTGGGGAGGTAATTGTCACCTCTTTTATATATATATATATATATATATTTTTTTTTTTCCCCTCTTGAGGACTAGCACAATCCATTTATTCAGTGCTTTTAGTTTTGGAAAATTAACAACGTTGGCATTTTCTCAGCCAATTCCAACTACGAACTTGGGAGAGGTGATAAGGTTGGAGGTTGGAAACCACGACCAATACCCAGCCTTGAGAATGTTCGAATCGTTCAAATAGCAAGTGGAGGATATCATTCCCTTGCGTTAACCGGTAAGTTAAGTTAGCAGTACAATTTCATTTCTGTTCCCGGTAGATTATATCATTTTAACTATCTCAGTCTTGATTTATATTAGATGATGGCAAAGTGCTTTCATGGGGCCATGGTGGACATGGTCAGTTGGGTCATGGATCCGTCCAGAATCAGAAGATACCAGTAGTAATTGAGGCTTTAGCTCATGAGCATATTATGTATATTTCTTGTGGGGGTTCTTCATCTGCAGCTGTGACAGGTAAGACTATTCATGTCACCTAGTATATCCTACTTGATTCAGAATATTTTACTTTAATACATAAATAACTTTTATCCTTCACCATGAGTCCTCTAGAGTCAAGAGTTTAATTCCCTGCTCGAGTATATTGATATAATGCTCCAAAGTTGCATGGCAATGTAGGCTACAGGTAGTGCCCAGGATTCAGTTATCTCAGATGTCACTGTTGTTGGATAATGTTTGAATTTGTCTACAAAAAGTTATTCTAGTTTCTAGTCAATTACATCTATGTCCAGTGACAATTGCACAGAGTACTTAATAGCAGCCCCTATAACCTCCCAGCTGCCAGATGCCAGTGACAGAATGTTTTACTGTTGCGGCATGAGGCGTTACAATGATTAAAAAGGCAGACCCTGGGCACAAGGCTCCTTGAATTTCGAGGATAGGGGCGAGGGTCAATTTTACATAGCCTCACCTTGCATTTATGCAAAAAAGTGGTTTCCCAGACTTGAACCCATGTCCTTCCGGAAGGAGCATCCTTACTGCTGCTTCAAAGCTTACCCTCAAGCATCACAATGATTGGTGGAAATAATTTTGGTTAAATTGTAAGAAGAGGTTGCCACTCTGCTAGATAGGCAGTCTACTTATATATATAGTTGATTTATTACTGGTATAAAGTGTTGAACTTGAAACCATTACGATTACTAATTTTATTTATTTTATAAATTTCAAAGTTTTTTTTTTTTTTTTCTGCTGTAAGCTGCTACTTTTGCTATAGCAACCACTCTGCTATATGCTATGTTGCCATATTTTATGGTGGCTGTTTCGCACTATCTTCCACTATTAACTACTTTGCAATTGTCAGTCGTTTTCATAACACTTAACAAGTGTTAAGACTGAAACCAAATTCTCTATTCTAGCTCCGCGATATCTGTTTCATTTACTTGTGAAACATTCATGATCCTGTAATGCAGCTCATCTGCAAACTGGAAATAATTGCAAAATTTCTAAACTGGTATTCACTGTTTTCATTGATTTGAGTATGGATCTGGAAACTAGAATGGGTCTAAGTTATATAAAATGTCTGTCTGAGATTATCTTGTTACATCTATGGTGGTTTGTTTGACAGAAAATTTAACTCTGGAATTTCTTATTTTTTTAGTAATTTCTTGTGTCAAATTTTCAAATCAGTGTAGTACAAAATTGAACAAGCTCTTTATGGTTCTGAACAGATAAAGGGAAGCTGTACATGTGGGGAAATGCCAATGATTCTCAATTGGGAGTTCCTGGGCTTCCAGCGGTACAACCGTGCCCTGTTGAAGTCAACTTTTTAATGGAAGATGATGGATTGGGACCCCACAAGGTTTTATCAATTGCAAGTGGTGCGGCACATGCCATGTGTTTAGCTTTGAGGGAAAGTTGTTGATTATGTCTGTTGACATGGAAATTTCTTCTTTGACGTAAATGACCAGCCAGCATGGATTCTTGAATATGGTAAATTTCATAGGTGAAATGCAGAAAAAACTTTTCTTTGTGTGGAATAGGATGCCATATAATGAATATATGGTGATTACAGATGATTGTTTCATGGATTTGGATCTCATCATGAATGATGCGAGCGATGTTTTATTTCTTACTCATTTGATTAATTGTAGCAGATCTCATTAGTGAACTTTGAAGTACTGAATGGCAAAGGTTTAAAACAGTTTCATACTTTTCTAAACTGTTTGGTCAGTGTATGATAGCATGATTGAATCAATGTTCGATTTGAAGGTGGGTGTTGCGCTTACGGCAAGTGCATCGGTCGTACAAGTAATATAATGTTTTAAGTAAGAGATCGTTCTCACGAGGATTAAAACTCAATCACTAGTTCACTACTTCGATTTAAGTTGGACAATCGAAATTGGATTTGTAATAGGATTTGATTTAAAATTTAAATCTATAAACTAAGGGATATGTTTTTCTCATGTTGCATGAGATAAATTATCTCATGCAACACACAAAAAAGTGGGTCAGATTCACTTTTTTCCCTTCTCTCTCTTCTTTTTAGTGGGTCACATTCACTTTTTTATGTGTTGCATGAGACAAGTTGTCTCATGCAACATGAGAAAAATGTTTCCCATAAACTAATTAATAGCAAGAATAAAAACAAGAAATTGAAGATTCGAATTAATTAATAGAAAAGAACGTAGCTAGGGTTTCAATTTCCTTCAATTTCTTGATTATGTCTGAATTCCTTCTTTAAGTTAATCGTCTTTAATATCAATCTAATCGATTCTTTCTTATGTAATTAGGGTTCAATCCCTTGTTACCCTAAATTTTTACAATCTTGTAAGAATCCTAGTTCTCCGGTTATTCCCCAAGAAAATAAGCATTAAATTCAAGAATCTCAAGATTACGCAAACCCAATGTCTATCCCTAGAATCATAAAGCTTACGATGAAATTATCAAATACAAATCATGCATCAACATTCCTATTGTCACGCATTTACCTAAGATCAATATATAATATTCAAGCTCATATAAAGCATTAAGAAAAGATAATTTCATTCATGATAAAAAGGAAAATTAACATAAAGAATTGTTCACGACATAAAAGATTAATTGAATTCCATCTAACCTTAACTACTTAAGAATTTAGCCAGATATAGCAAGATCAAGAACGAAAGAAAATATAAAAGCTTCCCCAAGCTCCATAGTCGATTGGTGAATATTCAATATCTCCAGTGTAAGCTTGATTTTGATCCGTCTCCACCGCTCACGAACATGAACTGTGGATTTCTCCGCGTTTCCTCTGCCTCTGAGTACTAAGAACTCTTTTGGAATGTGAAAAATTGATTGATTCCGACCCAAAATGTGTTTTTATTGACCAAGAATTTGTGGCCTAGATGGATACATTGAATGGGCCTAAGTTGGGTTTCTGGGGCGCTTAAGCGCGCCGTGGGGCGCTTAAGCCTCCTATCTTATGCATGAAATTTTCACAGCGCGCTCTTCGAGCCAGAACTTTTCTTCTTGGTCGCGCTTAAGCCCTGAGTTGGGGGCTTAAGCTTCCTCAGGCAGTGACTATTTGCTTATTTTGGAATAATTGGAGGGCTTAAGCTTCGAAATGGGGGCTTAAGCCTCCTATTTAACAACTTGATTTTCTTTATATAGATTCTCATATCTTATAGTTTTGATCTTTATCTATCCAATCTTCATATTTGACTCCATTTATCATCAAATTCCTTCAAACTAGCAAATATAAATATTATTTAATTCATAATCACATAATTCATGTATTTTATATCAAAACCCTAGTTTTTACTCATTTAACTTGATAATTCATATGATTTTAGTCTATAAAAACAAGATAAACTAAAGGTTTATCAGTGGGTAGGATATGTGGTCGATGAAGTATAGGTCTCAAGGTTTGGATAAGTATGTAAGCTTGGTAAAATGGTTGAAGGTAGTGTATCTGCTCTGTATGGATGGGTGATGCTCACCGGCAAGTGTACCGATCGCACAAGTAATACAGTGATAAGAAAGTTATCGTCTTCACAGGGATTGGGATCAAATATCAAATAATTATCCTTTTAAGATGGAAGGAATTCAGATGGGTGTGTGAAAGTTGTTGTTGATTTTGAGTAAAAATAAGAACTAAAAGTAAAGACTTATTTTTCCAAGGTTTTTGTTTATGAGAAATAAAACAGAAATTAATTTTGTAAAATATGAGAAAGCATTGTAGCTAGAGTACACTCACTGAATGATTCCCACTTCTTACTTTGGATTGATTTACAATACTCATTTACATAAATACTCAGATAATTTATCATCTAAAAATATTATTTGTTAACCCTCAATTCCTTGCACGATTAACCCTTTAACCCCAATTGAAACCCCAATTCCTTGCAATGTTCCTTATGGATTTAAGCAAAGAACACAATAAATTAAGCATTTGCAATCAAATATACGTCTATTCCTAGCACGCATACCAATTGTTATCCTACTCCCTTTCAAGATTAAAACCCCCAATATTCCTATCTAGGGTTTTAACCCTCAAACTATCATCAACTATCAGATTGATCAATTATAATAAAGAAGATAGAAATTACGCACAGAGTAGAAATAAAGATAAATATATAAACGAGTAAGGGTAAACCAATCCGTCATAACAAAGGTTCACATAGGGTTTGTGACCCTAACTACAATAAAAAGAACTAGCCAACCATTATCATGGCTAAAAATTCAATATTCAACATAAACTGATAAATAAAAAGGGGAAGAAGAAGATGAAATAGATCCTTGTCTGACTCTCTCTGAGCACCGCCGTCGTCTCTCTTCAATAAAATAGCCTTTTTAATTCTGTCATAAGCATCCTATTTATACGCCTCGCTTCTTTCTTCCAAAAATAACCTTCAGAAAACACGGTACATTTTTCTCGCAAAAGGCGCGGGTTGGCGCCAGTGTGGCGCCAACTTGTGCCATAGTTCTGTCACTTAAGAAAAATCACATCCTGAAAATTGCAAACCGGCGCGGGTTTGCGCCAGTGTGGCGCCAACTTGCGCCAACTTCCTGCCCATTGTACTGTGTTACTTTTTCCAGTCGGCGTTGGTCTGCGCCATAGTGGCGTTGGTCTGCGCCATAGTGGCGTTGGTCTGCGCCAACTCTTTGCCATTTGGCCTGTGAAGTGTGGCGCCAACTTGCGCCAGAGTGGCGCCAACTTGCGCCACTTCTCTGGAATTTGGCCCAAGGACTTCTATGTAGCATTGAAATTTCACCCGAGTGGAATCAGATCACCAGACTTTTCGTAATTTCCATATTTTCTTCTTCTTCTACCTATATAAACACAACCAAAAGGTGAGAAGTATCATTGACATGGACAAGTCAATATAGTAAACAAATATGTATATAAATTGCTCTTTTATGACTTAATCCTTATCAATTTCAGCTTAGAAAACTACATTTGCCAGAGGCACATCAAATCATTCCCAGATTTAAACGTTGTTGTCCCCAGCAATGTACAAGACTCAATCCAGGAAACAATCATTTAATCCAGCATAACATAACATTACATAGACACTTTCAGATACAAAATGCCATGCATGACTGACCCAATATCATAAACTCCCAACAATGCCATCAGTTTCTTAAAGATACAAGTCTACATTGATTACCCCTCACACAGTTAAATAATGTCCACTCAACACTCAGTGTTTAAGGGTATCATGAGCACTCAATCAATCACAACTATAACACTACCATAGGCTTGATCATATTCTAAAATATTCTTAAAAATGAAGAATCAAACACATGCACCAATTGATCAAAAGGACTTCACAGGTTGTAACTTGGCCAAGTTAAAGGGTAGGAATATATGGATAGTAGCTCAACAACAATGAGATTGAAAAATTGATACTGTTTTACTTTAGCACATTCAACTCAATGGTTTTGCTCCACTAAGATTCCCACAGAATTTCGAGAATTAATTCCTGTCAACCACCTTTTATGCACATTCACCCTTTTTCTTTTTCTTTTTTTTTTTCAAATTTTTTTTATAAGGGTACAGATGACATCTACATCCCCTACTTACTTGACCTTTATGGAGCTTACCTCAATTTCTTTGTTTTAACTTCAACACATAAGTAATTCAATCTCAATCAAGGTAAGTCACATGGATATAGGCTAAGCCATCAATCAAGCACAAGTCATTGAGCAACAAAATAATTTCAGGCTCAAGGGGCTAGCAATCGAAAAATTCATACAGGTGGGCTATTTTGGCCATAAGCTAACGAGAACAAAATGCCTTTATCATATCAACCAATGTATGCATAACAGGGAAACAGATCAAGTTCTAGAGTGTTACAACAGTGAAGTCTCTCAACAAGAAAATTCAGTGTTTAGGCTCAAACCTCACAGCTATGGTATCAATATAGACTCAAGAAAATTGACCTCAGACATTATCAGAATTTCACAACATCAGTTCAGACAAACGAACAATCATGTAATCCAATTATACCTATGCACTATTATGCCAAAAAGTTATACAATATGCTTCCAAGAATTCAGTCAAGCACATTAACTAGATAAGAACATTTAAACCTGAGAATTGCTTGAAAAATAGATCAATATTTTTTATTTTTATTTTTAAATTAAAGAGCAACACAAAATAACTAACTAAAATAACTAAAAAAAATTAAAAGAGTTTAGAATATCTCCCCTGATAGAAGAATTGCAGTTCCAAAGTGCTTTCCTAAAGCCTACCATTCCCAGATTTAAAGAATTGTTGTCCCCAACAATAGTCAAACCATAAGATGGATGAAAAACCTGCACAATGAAACAAACAACGGCATATAGGATAAACTATAATGCGCACAAGAAAATATCAGAGTGTTTGGGAAATATACCAACGCAAAGTAGCTAAATGACCCTAACATCAACCTAAGGTCATAATAAAATAGCAAAAGTACTAAAAAGAAAAACAAACTAATATACAATAACTCTCCAACAGCAAGGAGATTTAATCAATCCTCCATTTCATCCCCCTTAGCAGCATGGGATGACTCAGCAAATGCAGGATCTGGTGGTTCTGGATGCATCAGTGCATGAGACCACCATTCCCAGATTTGATTCCAACCGTGAATCCATGTGAAGAACTCTTTGAAGTATTGTTTTCTCTGAAAGACAGAGTCTTGGTATCTCTTCTCACATAATC